CTTGAAAGGATGCGCCGGGTAATGGCAGGGTCTAGGGCCGCCCCCACCCCCACGCCCACCAAGGCAGTTTTCTGCTTGGGGAAGAGCGGAGCCTGCCTGTCAAGCTGCATCACTGCCCAAGGCCTGCCAGGCTGTTTGGGAACCTGAGGCAGAGAATGGCATCAGCAGCTCCCTCCCTCTGGCAGGAAAAGATGACAGCAACAAATGAAATAATCTAGCAACCTTGCTCTAGTTATAGCAGGGCCCAGGCCTGGAAGGGCCCAAAGGAGTTGTTTCTGTTTAAATGTGCATTGTCCCGGCTTACCACCCTTACCTGGGTTGTCTTTGACAGCTCTGTGAGGCAAATCCTTATTACTGTGCAGACTTAAGCATGTTTGCTCAAGTAATCCCACAATTCAGTCAGATCTGCTTCCCTAACAGGATTGTAGGGATTGTAGCTTTATACCCATTTTACAGGTGGTGAACATAATTGAGGCAAAGGAAAAGTGGCTTTCATAGGCTACTCCATGGGTCCGTTGTGGGCAGGAATTACCCAACTAGATTGCACTGCTGTCTCTGCTCTTAAAATATAAACCTCGTAAACCGTCTGGGCCTTGGGGCAAGCTAAAGTCTGGCATGTGGGCACAAAATTTCAAGACAGCAACGCAACTGTGCAGTTGACAATCCATGTGCATCAGAATGCTAAAAGTTGGCAGAGTTCTACTGATTTATAGTGGCTTACTTCAAATGACAGTAGATTCCAGTTTTAGAATTACAAACCTAAGAGCAGCATTAATTAGGGAACATATGGGCCTTATATTTCTGAAACCTATTTTGGAATGTGGTCAGTTAAGAGAGAAAAGATGCTCTCAGCCTCCCCCTGCCACTTTATATGTTGCTTCATATTGATTTTTCAGAGTATTAGTAATCATTCTCCACCCCATGTTTATGTTAGTAATGTATGCATTTTGTTTTGGGCATTCAAAGTGGATTTTGGGCTTGTTGCTATGGCTCCCCTTAGTACAACACAGAATAGCAGACAAAATATAATTTTAGTCTGTAAAATCCAAGTGCATATCCTTGCTCCATTATAAATCTTATTGGGTGACATTGTGCAGACTACCCTACCTCAAATAGGTTATAATTTGTAACATTTGTTCACTTTTTAAAAGCGGGATAAAAATGTAAGTTTAAAATGTCAAGACATGTTGTAACTCACCTTGAGATAGGAAAGAAAAGGAGTTACTAATTTACTACTTGCACAAAAAAGTCCTGAAAGCCAAGAGGCCACTTCCTTTGCTTTTCAACATTTCCACTGGAAGTATCTTGCTGGGAGAAATGGGGCAGAGCAGAGATTAAGAACTTTGTCCTGTCCCTCTTTGCTTAGCACACAAGGAACTTGCAGCAGAATTTACGTAGTCTCACAAGGACAAATGCAATATCTGTCTCTCTCCCAAACTGGAACTTTCTGCTTCAAAACAAATGAAGGGACAGTCCCTTTCAATCATTTGGAAGTATATGGTATGCACTGGTATTCGACTCAGTTCAGCTGTCATACCCCCACGTGAGAAGACAGAGTGACAATTTGGACCTATACAATTGACCTTAAGCAGATATTATCGTATTGTAACATTGTCATATATTGTTCTATCAGAACAGGGTTTTAGAAAAATAAATAAAAAGAAACAAGTCAAAACAAAAGAGTCCAGGCTTCTTTCTGGAGACATTGAGGGGCAGGTCAGGAAACAGCTTGTTCCTAAGAGTTATCCATTAGGGAGTTGGCCTCATGCTTAAACACCTAAAGTCAACAAAAGCTGGACTTTGTTATTGCATGCTCTGTGAAGCCAAAGCCCAGACGGGCAAAATGCACTATACAGCTGGGACTCACACAGGAATCATGTGCTCCTTACAATCAGTACTCAGATACGGGTGCTGCGCAGCCAAGCTTCTAAAACACAAACCATAAAACTAAGATGCATGGAACAGCATATAGTCAGGGCTTGTAGGCATTCTCTCACTTCTAGGCTTCTCTCACTTGTAGGCATTCTCTCACTTCTGACTAAACATGGTCAAGAAAGTACGTGGCCTAAATGTTCCTTAAAGGCCACTTCTAGGAATATATGTGCCAATGACTGCTGAAAGTGAATTAAGGAGACAGAATGGGTTCTTATGGTTTGCCAAGACAGAGCTTTATGAGACTTTCGTAGGAGTGTGAACGTTCTTTAAGCATCTACCTCTCACTGTGAGAATATGGGTCTGCCCAGTGGTGTGACTTTATGCTAAATAGGGGGACACTGACACAGTGGCGTAGCGTGGGTTGTCAGCACCCGGGGCAAGGCAAGTAATTTGCGCCCCCTAACCCGTGGATTTGCGCCCCCCTAATCCGTGGATTTGCCCTAACCCCAGATGTTGCGCCCGGTGCGGCCGGCCCCCCCTGCACCCCCCACGCTACGCCACTGCACTGACACCCTCCTACTAGAAACTACCTTTTGATAAGGGAGAAAAACACGGGGGAGGAATCTGCTCCTACAAAGAACATCTCACCCACAGAAACCCCACCTGCACTGAAGTTATTTATGAAACAGACTGCCCACAGAATTGAAATTAGCCTGCTTTTAAAATAAAAATAAGTGGAATCACACATAAGGTGGCTGCAGTGGAAAGGGTATAGTGTTCTTTTTTATTTAAATCAAATACAATGTTTACAAAAGAGACACAAAGTAAGAAACAAACAAGTCATTCACATCAGCACCAATTGGTCAAGTCAGCCTAAATCCAGAATCCGGTTCTAATCACACACACACACGTTTCTATTTCTGCAACACTGGATCAGTAGCTAACAGTTATCCATTTCCCCCATGTACGCAGTACCTAAGACAGTTACCAGCCAGTTTGCTATGGTTGGTACAGGTACAGATGGAGATTTCCAACACCGAGCAAAGACAATTTCTGCAGATATCTAAAGATATCATAATAAAAATTGAGTTTGTCCTATACTTTGTATCCACCAGGAAATGTAATAGTTTTTTAAAAACTTAAAATAGTTTCAATATCAGATTTTTCCTTTTTAAACTTTTTAAAAATACTCCTCCAGCATAAATTTCATCTGACTTAAGAATTGTCAATCTCATGTTCCCACTTTGTTAGAACAAAGTTTGTGAAATCTTTGAAGGAAATCATTCTTCATTCCTTATCCTCCAATGCTGAAATTTTTATTTACAGTATCTTCATCTTTCTTTTGGGAAGCTCAGAGCAGCTTACACAAGTCTTTCAGAGAACCTTGCCTCCAAGTGAGCCCCACTTAGCATCATATACTCTTCAGCCATTCTCTGAAGCAATGAATGCTGAGGGACGATCACACACAAGAAAAAGTAGCTGAGATACACTTAGTAGGACTTTGCAGAGAAAACCCGTAGCACCTCTCCAAGGTACTACTACTTACTACTTTTCAGATGAAGAAATCCAAAAGTAGGGGTGGAATTTGATCTGAGGTGCAGGCTGCACCCTTATTTGTGGAATGTTCAGTGACATTTCAGTGGAAAAAGAACTATAGAGTTGGAAGGGACCCCAATCTCCTCAATGCAGCATCTCAACTAAAGCATACATGACAGATGGCTCTCTAACTTCTGCTTAAAAAAACCCAAGCAAGCAGAGTCCACCACCTCTCGTGGGAGTCTGTTCCACTGTCGAATAACTCTTACTATCAGAAAGTTCTTCCTGATGTTTAGTCAGAACCTCCTTTCCTGTAATTTGAATTCATTGGTTCGGGTCCTAGACTCCAGAGCAGGGGAAAACAAGCTTGCTCCATCTTCCATGTTATAGCCCTTTAGATAATTGAAGATTGCTGTATCTCCTCTCAGTCTCAGGGGACAAAACCTATAATTTCTTGCCACCCACACAAGCAGCCCAAGAAACACATGTTCACAGTGCTCATTTTTTGCCAGAACCCAGGTGACATGAGGACGGACAAGCAAGGAACTGGGCCACGGCATTATCACATGTGATTTCATATCACACTCCAACTGGAAAGCTGTAAATTACTAGTCCTCCTACTTGGACTTTGAGGCTAATTTTTCCTAAAGTGTCCTTATTTTAGAGTTGACAGGGTAGGGTCACTTTCTGCCTACCTCAAGATTCAAGGCAACTCTGAAACCATAGGCTTGAAGGTCACTCTTCAACTGATCTTAGTGGACATATTTTGAGCAACAAAAGTTGAGACAGTTGGATTCTTTGGTATGAGACATATTATAAAGATATAATATGTCATTTTGCTCCATTCCCCATTAGCAATGCCTCTCACTAAGCTTTTACTGTCTCATAAGGGCTACAAAAGTAGACGGCTACCTAAAATTAGAAGACTTGAGATGTATACTGTAAAGGCAATACATTATCCTGTGACAATGGGTCCCTCTACCTCTCATAGGCATCCTTTATTTAGGCTTTAATTTTACAACTATTGACCCTGAGAGTAAGAACCATTGAACTTCATGGGACTTACTTCTGAGCAGAAATGTATAAGAATTGCACTCACAGTGTGTTTTAAAAAAGAAAAGAAAAAAGATTATTGTTATTTGATAACAAATAGGTATTATACATTTTTCCAGATGCTGGAAGAAGCTATAATTCAGGGAAATGCTAAAAAGCAACTATGTTAGAACAGGCCTACACCAATTACTTGGACATGAAAGGTATCATTACTGAAATCTGTTAAACAGCCCCATATGCTGTGAAGCAATAAAGCAGAACAGAAATTATATTTGTCCCACATCAGATGCAGATAGGCAGAGTAATTATAACAAGATGCCCCCACAAAATACTTAATTTTTTATACACTGGCTTTGTTTATTAAGGCTGTTGGTTAAAGTGTAATATATTAGGGAAGAACTCTTCAGTAGGACATGGGTTGCAACACTCCTAAAATTAAAGCCCACTTCCCAAGCTCCCATAGTTAATCAACAAGTGTGCATAAGTTCTATAACATAAAAGGACATTTAGCATCAGTGCAGCTTTGTATCCTCTGCGATTGTGGAGAGATTTCTTTTTCAGTAATCGTGTCCCAATTTGACTCCTCTAGGAAAGCCAGCCATAGTTAGTATAAAGGTAAGAGACAGGTATTATTGAGGTGAGTCATGAAAAGTGTGATTGTTTTATCATGAAAAGAGGAATGATACTAGTTTTTAATGACAATCCATAAAGATAAAATAGTTTCATTTACAAAGTTGTGCGTTATCAAGTGTCCCAAGTTTCCCCCTAACAACAGACAAGGGAAAGCAGACTGAAAGCTAAAGGACTTTCTACTTCTAGTGTTTTCTTCAAGAAATAATACGTCAGAGTTTGTGACTGGGAGCTTTTTCCTTGACTGAGATCTAAAGCAGCCTCAAGCACTTCCACGCTGGCAAGGGTTTTGGGGAACGTAAGGGGCTGTATAGAAGAGGCTCAAAAGCTTCAGAATGAGGAAGAGTGCCCATGTCACTTTGGGTCCCAACTCTTTCTTCACTAGATTGATGGCCAGAGATCTTGTGGAGTAAAGAATGACATCCATAAAGAGGCATGGCAAGTCACGTATGGCACAACCGTTAGCACTTACCCTTATGAGCTGAATACCAAATTCATGTGAGGTATGTGCATTTGATCAGCTCACCATGGGCTGGTGAGTTTTCAACAGGTCACCACAAGTCCAGAGAGTGATGTACAGAGGTTCCTAGACTTGACTACAAGCATCGCAGTCATGTGACACACAGTTTCCACTCTATACCCTCCACTAGGAGGAGACTGTTTCTTAAACACACTTTCCCCCAAGAGTGCGTCCATTCTGATTCAGTCACTTCATAGCAAGCAATGCTATGTAATACAAGCAATGCCAATATGGCTCTTGCAGATCTTGTTCTTCTTATAAAAAAAGACGTTCATGAGACAAGTAATTTACAAAATGTTAATGTCACCAGCAGAGTACCAGGTAGGCTGCCTGAGCTGCTCCCAGCTCCACTCAATGCCACTTTAAAAGGGAAGAAGAAATCAAATGGAAGCTTCCAATAGGCTCTGGGCTGACCGCGGGGTGGCTCCGGCCATTTAGTAGCATCCGTGAAGGCAACTGTGGTTGTCAAAGGCAACATGTTCACCATGTTGCCAATGGACTGGAAGAAAAACAAAACTATCATTTTAAAATGTACAGAGCCTTGCTTGGTTCCTACCTCATAGCAAATTGCTCCACAGGCCTCTTACACTAGTCTATCATAATTCAGAGCTGTTCCCTGAACATGAAAGGAAAGCCTGAGACATTTGTCTTGGGCTTGTGACATGACATGCTTGTCCTTGCTGTCTCTCAAAAAGGAGACTGGGACTACTCTACAGCAAATGGAACTGAAAAGAAAAGTGAGATCCATTTCTATAGCTATTATTTTCCACTCCCAGCTCCCCTTTCACCTTACCATTGACAGCTGCAAACCTGTCCTTTCTTTGTGATGCACGAACAGGCATAGAAGTGAAGAACACAGAGCCTAGAGACCATCCCCCCACCCACTGGACCTCCTGACACACAGCTATTAAAATTATTCTATCACCTGTTTAGCCTCCTCCTTCTGGCTGTGGACAGGAGCTGGAGGCTACACCTGGCATCCCTTATGAGCTCTACAGTGGCAATAGGTGGTATTGCACTACACAGAGAACTAGTCTCTTGTCTTGCAGCGCTCTCTGTCAATGTAGCAGATTAATCCTATACAACTCCTATAGTCCTTCCTCACACTCTAGTGGACAGGAGCAGGCTTTTTCACTGATCTCCTAATATTTCCTAAAATTCTGGTTAAGTAGTATGAGTTCTTATTTGTTACATTCATTTTTACTTTACCTTGGAAGACAGTTAATAAGTAATAGTGAAATACAGTGGTACCTTGGTTCTCAAACGCCTTGGTTCCCAAACATCAAAAACCTGGAAGTAAGTGTTCTGGTTTTCGAACGTTTTTCAGAAGCCAAACGTCCGATGTGGCTGTCGGATATTGTTTCCGGGGCACCTGCACCAATCAGAAGCTGCACCTTGGTTTTCGAACATTTCGGAAGTCAAACAGACTTCCAGAACTGATTAAGTTTGGGACTCTTGTTTTTACTATTTATTTTGCGTTTTTGTTTTTGAGGCTTTTCCAGTTAATTTGTTTTTGTGGCTGTGTGGAACCCAGTTCAGCTACTGACTGACTGATTGTGTGACTGCAGAAATGGATAAAAGTCCCTCATCCAAACAATGACTATCATCAGTGCAGGGAAGAAAAGAAAAATAATTTTAATTTTTATCATCTACAATACTGTCTTATTTATTTTATAGTACAGTACGTTGATTATTGCTTTAATTTTATGGATCAATGGTCTCGTTAGATAGTCAAATTAATGTTAAATTGCTGCTTTAGAGGTTGTTTTAAAAAGTCTGGAATGGATTCATCTGTTTTGCATTACTTTCAATGGGAAAGCGCGCCTTGGTTTTGGAATGCTTTGGTTTTGGAACAGACTTCTGGAACGGATTATGTTTGAGAACCAAGGTACCACTGTAATTCATTGGGCTTGTTCAGATTTATTGCTAAACTATGCTTCAGCGAGGGGTGGGGAACCTCCAGCCTGCAGGCCAAATGTGACCCACCAGGCCTCCTCATTCAGCCCACCAGTTCACTTCCCCCCAAACATCAGACAGTTCAGTCAGTAGAGCATGAGACTCTTAATCTCAGGGCCGTGAGTTTGAGTCCCATGTTGGGCAAGATCCCTGCACTGCAGGGAGTTGGACTAGATCAGGGGTTGTCAACCTGGTCCCTACCGCCCAATAGTGGGTGTTTCAGGAGTCTAGGTGGGTGGTAGGGTAAGGTTACCAGATTTTTTCCCAATGAATCCGGGGACACTTTTCAACTTCCTACTCAGTAGATGGATTTTGTCAGGGGTAAAGGTAAAGGTAAAGGTACCCCTGCCCGTACGGGCCAGTCTTGCCAGACTCTAGGGTTGTGTGCTCATCTCACTCTATAGGCCGGGAGCCAGCGCTGTCCGCAGACACTTCCGGGTCACGTGGCCAGCGTGACAAGCTGCATCTGGCGAGCCAGCGCAGCACACGGAAACGCCGTTTACCTTCCCGCTGGTAAGCGGTCCCTATTTATCTACTTGCACCCGGGGGTGCTTTCGAACTGCTAGGTTGGCAGGCGCTGGGACCGAAAGACGGGAGCGCACCCCGCCGCGGGGATACGAACCGCCAACCATGCGATCGGCAAGCCCTAGGCGCTGAGGTTTTACCCACAGCGCCACCCGCGTTTGTCAGGGGGCTGATTTGTAAATCCAGGGACCGTCCCCAGGAAATGGGGACGTCTGGTAACTTTACAGTAGGGGCTTCTAGGGCACAAGCTGAATCCTCCTTCCATCGAGCACTGGTGGGCAGTAAGGAAATTTTACCAACAAGAAAGATGCATTAGTGGGCGGTAGGTATAAAAAGGTTGACTACCCCTGGACTAGATGAACCTCGTGGTCCCAACTCTACAATTCTATGAGCTACTAGTAAAGCTGATCCCTGCAGAAAGCAGGACTGAACTACCCAGAGCAGAAGCTGATGCATGGGGTATTCAATCCTGCTTGGTCACCCTCTTGCTTTAGGTGGTCCTGCCCAATTGTCAAAGTTGGCCTGCGGAGTGGGGAGGGAGAGAAAGATCTGGCCCCTGGTTTAGCCTTATGTGTACAAACAACATTAATTCTTGGGCTCCCCTTTCTCCTCTGGCATGTGTCAGAGAAGATTATAGGAAGCATCTGCTTCTAGTTTTTAACTACGCAAGTTCCTGAAATAGGGCAACTCTGGTAGGTTCAAACACTAGGTAGTGAACAAATCAGGATAATAAATCACTGTTCGATCCTAGCTTGTTTGAACTACTCAGAGTTTAAACAAACCAGAATTCACCGAGTTAAGATGCAACAGTGAGCTCTGGTTAGTTTAAAACCGAATGTAGCTTTCAATCTTCTCTGGTGCACAAAAGAGGTCAAATGTGTGAACTCACTATAGCTCATACACTTTGCATTACATCTGAAATGGTCCAAAGAAATAGAAAACAGCTCTAAGACATTATTTGTGACAGACCTTCAGAGATTTGCAGAGATAATGGTATCGTGCTCCCAATATTTGAGCTTGCGGATTAGACAGGAGGCCTAAGTGGGCCCATATCACTTGGATCTTCAGGGAAATGGGAACCATACAAGGCCCATCCTAGAAAGAAAAGGGGAAATTCTAAATTAAATAAGCATACTCCCAAAGAGCTGTATTCCTGCTGAGTAATCAGCAGTGCAAAGGGGAAGGCTCAGAATTACTGCTAAATTTGTGCTCAAATACGGAGCAAAACATGATGGCTCTACTCTGCCTCCACAGTTGGAGGCAGTATGCTTCTGAACACCAGTTGCTGGAAACCACAGGAGAAGAGAGTGCCCTTGTGCTGGAATCCTGCTTGCATGTCCTACAGAGGACCTTACAGTCTTCAAACAAAAACATCTTGGAGGTCCTGGGCCACAGGGAGGTTAGGCTGGCCTCAACCAGAGCCAGGGCTTTTTCGGCTGTGGCCCCAATCTGGTGGAGCGCTCTGTCACAAGAGACTAGGGCCCTGCGGGACTTGACATCTTTCTGCAGGGCCTGCAAGACAGAGCTGTTCCACCAGGCCTTTGGCCAAGGCACAGTCTGACCCCCTCCTTTGGTAATCCTCACATAACTCTAGCCTAATGGTTGCCATTAATTTGATTTTGAATTGATTTTAGAATGAATTGATTTTAGAATGCTGTGTTACTTTTATTGTTGTTAGCTGCTCTGAGCCCGGCTTCGGATGGGGAGGGCGGGATATAAATAAAATTTTATTTTTATTATTATTATCTGATTGGCCACTGTAAGAACAGGATGCTGGACTAGATGGGCCATTGTCCTGATCTAACAGGCTCTTTTGTGTTCTTATGAAGAGAGTGACATCTCAGAGGTAGTCAGAATTGCATGGGGATGCAGAAAATGATGTTTCTACAGCTACCTCTCCTTTCATTGGGAGGAACAAAAGAAGACAAAAGACTTATGGCCCAGTTGAAGGAAGTTCTATGTGAATACATTAGGGACCTGTGAATGTGCCACTGGTCTTGGCAAAACACAATGTGCTCCAGCTTGACATGGTTAGAGGGAAGTTTCTTCTATAGCGTAGATGGTTGCCCTTTCATCCTTCAGGTGCTGTGGCAAAGCTTACAATAGGATGTCAGATACAAATATACCGTATTTTTCGCCCTATAGGACACACTTTTTCCCCTCCAAAAATGAAGGGGAAATCTGGGTGCGTCCTATGGGGCGAATGCAGGCTTTCGCTGAAGCCTGGAGAGCGAGAGGGGTCGGTGTGCACCGACCCCTCTCACTCTTCAGGCTTCGCGGACCTCTCCGCAAACAGCGGGAGCGCTCCCGCTGCTTGCGGAGAGTTGCCGGCATGCCGAAGCCTGCACGCACTGAGATCAGCGCGTCCAGGCTTCGCGGACCTCTCCGCAAGCAGCGGGAGCCAGCGCTGGGCTCCCACGGCTTGCAGAGAGCTGCCTGTTTGGGGGCTGGGGTCGGGGGAAGCTCGGGCCTCCCCCGCCCCAGCCCCGCGCCTGGGGGGGAAATAATTTCCCCCCCTTTATTTCCCCCCAAAAAACTAGGTGCGTCCTATAGGGCGAAAAATACGGTACTCTGTCTCTCTGCATATTACCTGTATTTTGCACCCCTGGGTGAAAATGTTGGTCCGCTCTCCTGGACGGCTTGGGTCAGCATTGCCAGTTATGGCCAAACCGCCTAAGTTGTATGTTCCCTCAAAGGCTTGGTATAGCGTCTCTTGGAAATGGCTACAGTTTGCTTCCTCCAGCTTGAAGGGTACACTGGAAATCAGACAAAACAGGGAGCATCCATTGGTCTCATGTCAGTGAAACTTAACTACCATTCAGAAACACATTACCTTTACATTACTTCTCAGGAATTACTGAACTGGAACATGTCTAAATCAGTTCTTCAGTGGAGGTACATTTGGTGAGAAGTTAAAATTATCCCTTGCCAAGTTCCTTAGTTTATGTGCTAAGCAGTGAACAGTCAGCTCTGATTTACAAAATTTGGCTGTCTATACAAGTCTGTACAAAGAGTGTAAACATTCAAGAGAATATGAAGAATATTACCTGAACTGGCAACTTGTCCTCACATTCTCTCTAAACTGTACTTTATACCTTTCAGTTGCTGAGCATTGACCATCAACTTGATTCTGTAAAATGGTTATCTGAGGAGAGAGGTGTCAGGAAACTAAACTAGAATACAATGGAAACCAGAGAAACTGTCTTCGGTCTTGTGGACAGAAAGCAACTCCAAGTGTGTACATATGTACACAACTCCAATATGGTGTGTACATACGTACACAATCATTTGTTTACATTTTAACTCATTCTCAGGTTTGGAGAATATCAACTACTGATAAATAATCTGAAATATTTTAAGTCAAATGGTTTTAATTTAATAAAAGGCTAAATGTCTACTACTTTAGCCTAAATGATGAAAAGGCAGCCAAACATGAACACCTCAACACTTTTGCCACTTCTCCAAATAAAAATACCCCCCCCCCAGTTGTGGGGCTGATTAAATGCAGCACATGAACAGCAAAGAGAATGCATTCTCAGTTGCTCCATCCTGGGTATTATAGTGAGACATATAAAATATCACCTCATCTCCAAGAACCATTCACAGGCTGTTTATAACCCATAATTGGCTCATGGCAACATCTTAACTGAACAGCTGGTCTCATCCACATGTTCTTTCTATTGGATCCAAAAACTTAGAAACAAAAGGATGTTGCATAGACCTGAAAACAATTGAAAAGCCAAGTGCAGGAATAAACAAAGAAGTATATAATTGCATATACACATCAGCCTACAGCTTTTTAAGAAAATCTGAGGCCAGCGGATCAAGTAATACATTGCAGATAGCCCTGCAGGATTCTCTCATTTGTAGTTAAAAGTGCGAGGTGGTTACTAATACCAAGAGCATTAATTCTGGGCCTTGGTTCTCACAGGGCATTCACATACGTATTAATATATGCAGTGATATGAAGAACAGTGGGTGAAGTCAAAATCTTCTGTACAGCTCTACAATCATCTAAGACCTAAGGGTACACTCCTGGTATCAGGCTACACTCCTGATACTAGATCAAAGACAGTGCCAGAAAGGATACATGCTGCTGGGTGCCATTATACAGAACTATCAGTGGTGCTCCTATGATATATCCAGGGTTCCCACTTCTCTGTTTGGTGAGAGAAGGGCTCCTGCTCTGCAAGAGACAAAATAAATTACATGAACCTTATTATACCATCATCTGTACATACTTTGAAATACAATAATTAGTAAGGGACAAAATTCAGAGCTGGCCTAATGGTTAGGATTGACATGCCAAAGAAGTGGGAGCTGAGCCCACTCATGCCAGATGAAGGGGGCCTTGTTTTGTCATTACACATACTAAAATCCTCTAATAGTGCATTGAAGTACCATACATGAATCCACTGACCCAACACCGCAGTGATGGATTATAGATAATCTTGGGGCACTGAAATGTGAATGAAATGGAAATAAAAAAGAACACTGGCTAATACACCAGGCAGGAATCCTTGCATGATGCAGCTGCTCCCATGTGGTGTTATAAGGCAACAAGAAATGTAAGCAGCAATTTGAAGGACAACAGTGGAAGCAGTTTTGCACAGATTTGCAAGAAGTCTCTTCCCTAGTGAAAAGCAAGAGAAAAAATTATGTTGCCATCATGTTCTGCTTTAGTCATGATTACATCAAAGTTAATAGATGAGCAACTTGCAGCATTATTTCCTTTTATATGTGTGTGTGATTTATAGAAAGGTTACATGTCTTTTAGACAAGGAATAAATATGCAAAGTCAGCATCTGTGGCACATCTTTCATTCTCTAAGCAATTGGAGAATTACTGACACAGGCAGAAGAGAAAAAGTGGCAAGGAAAGGCAAAGAATGAGGATGATTAGTTTGTGTTTGATGCAGAGGGAAAGAGAGTATAGTTTGCCCAGAAATTCATACTCTTATCTCCTCTGCACTGTCTTCGTGACTCTTATCAGTCACATGGACTCAGACTATGGGCATATCTACCACGGCACTCCACTCTCCAAAATAAGTCACCAGGCAGACATAGCAAAAAAAATTTTTTACCAGTATACACAAATAACTGGTATTACAGGAAGTGAGTTTATGAGACTAATACCATTGTAAGCAATTGGTTGCCTATTCATCTGCTTTACTCTATTGTTTATGTGATTGCTTCACAGGTACACAAAGTGAGAGACAAATTTAGCAGATGGAAGGAGAAAAAACCAATTTAAATACTTTCTAGTCTGTTTACCACTTCATCATCACAGCTTGTGTAAGAGCTGATCAGAATCTAAGATTACAGGCAAAGCTAAAAGTGTACTAGACAAAGTGCACAGATTCTGTACAGATTGAATACTAAAAACTCAGAATCTTCTTAGAACTGCTGGTGTTAACCAACTAGACAAAAGAAGTTTCCAAAACATTGTACCCTTCCCCTTTCAATGCATGCAAGGCCTATCTCCATTTAGAAATGTTTGGCAGGCCATTTCAAAGCACTGATAGCTTCCTTTCCCTAGCTCCAAAATTAATTTGCATCACTTTGATAAACAGGATGGAGACTTCTCCAACTTGCTGTCAGACCTAGAAAATGCTTCTTCAGTGCAGCAGCCTGAGACTTTGACAGCCTTGAGAAGAACCTAGACTTCTACACCACCACAATTGTTCTGCAGCACAAACTCAATCCTTTCTTTGATCACATACGGCCAAGAAATAAATATGGAGCCACACTTGCAAGCCCGTTTTGTGTTTCAGAGTAGCCATCTCACTTCCACAACAGCACCACCATTGAGGCCCATGACAGTAGAATACTGACTCTGGGTTCCATTCTCATTGAGCTCATAACACAGCAAAGGATCCAGTTGCACACAAGGGCCCCAGCCCAACCCTTTCCCCCACAGTCCAAGAATGCATATAAGAACAAACACTGACCCCAAAATGAAGAGAAAAGCGCTGCTGCAGTGTGGCTCTTGGATTCCCAGATATACTGGCAACTTTGAATTGAACAGACACTTTCTGAATTCCATGAATCCCATTGAACTCCACCTCATAGCTCACCTAAAAGTATGACATACATGTCAGAGAGAGACAAGGTATGAACTTAGGCCTCAGGTCACCTCCCCACACCTCTACTAACGAGGACAGCACTTGAAACTAATGATACCTCAGAAACAACATTGTGGCACGTGCTACCACTTAGTGAAGGAGATGCAGGCTCTGAAATAGGGGTGATGTTGACCTGGAGACACGAAAGATATTTTCAGTTCTCATATCATATTTATCTTCACCCACATAATCTATCCACAGTCATCTTAGACTAGGGGCATTCGAAACTTCCAACCCACTTCACAAAAAATAATCCTCACAACTATTCTGCTACTTGCAGCGGGAAACTTAAGCATTCCCTTGAGACCATATACAAATAAACTAACATCTTTACAACACTCATTTCTTTGTGTATAGCTAGATCCACAATTCCCAGTCCATTTTCTAGACTATGTTTCAAAATTATCACTAGGCAAAAACAAACTAAAATCTCACCTGTATGGGTTGGAAAATAGTCATGTTGACTGGGACCTGAAAAATGAAAAGCCAGCTATACTTTAGTGTCTGCACAAGATAATGATTTACAAACCTTTGATCCCAGTCTTACAGTCTTGTCTTCTTTGCAGTGTTCTTTTATCTATTGGGGATGATGCATTATTTAGGAATAGGCAAGAAAAAGGTTTATTGATCCAATAAATTTTGAACTCTGCTGGTTCTTCTTCAGGGAAATTCAGAGAACAGTAATTCAAAATTCAGATGTGCTACCTCATCTATTTTTTACCATAAGAAATAAAAAAGGTAGCACATTTGAATTTCCCTGAAGTAGAGTTAAAAATGTGTTGGATCAATAAACCTCTTTCTTGTAAATCCCATTGTTTTGCTTTTGTTTCCAGTTGCTTTTTTTTAAGGTGGGGGTTCTTATTTTTGCTGGACTTTATTTAGGAAAAATCTCTTAATTTGTAGGCCCCAAATACTCTTTATGCCTGTAGTTGGCCAACAGTATTATCAAATGTTTCCCCAATATTTCAAGGTATTCAACAATAAAAAGAAATATCTTAAAACCTATTCTTCATTTGGCAAGGAAGCAGAAGACTCAAATGTGCTTAGGCAATGTGGAAACATACTTGAATTAGGAAAGATAACCAATACTATACCAAAATAGCAAAATAAAAGAGTTACCTTCAGGACACTGAAGCCACGGTAGTATGAAGCTGCATCCAGTGCAGGGTCAGTGGTGCAGCTGCTTGTTAAGTCAGTAAGGATCCGAATGCAGCTTGTGTTTTTGCTCTCCAGGAAACCTAAGTAATTAACAGGTCACATAAGCGGGTAGGGACACGAAGTAAATGTCATCCTAATGCACAGGAATCCACAAATGCAGTCAACAGGGCAATCCAACCTGTAACGTGCCATCGTGTGTGTATGTCTTAAATTCAGAACTCCCAACACCAGGCTCCAACATTATTAACTGGCTGTGCCACCAACACACTGTATTAACTGCAAGTCTGACAGACTAAGCACTGTACTTCCAAGGCATTGCCTGGGTTGTAGGGCCAAGCCTAGTTAAGTACTCGTCAGTGGATCACAAGCACAAATTCCTGTCCACTGAGACCTATAAGGCCCTAGCCTAACCTGTTCATCAGCAACTCAGTCCAGAGCAACTTGCCTCAGCAAAGAAGACCTCAACTAGCTACACTTTTGCTGTAGCCTGGTTTGACCCACTGCCTGGGATTATGATGCAGGACTTAGGCCCCTTTAGTCACTGTCTCTGGAAACCCATCTTGCCCATCTTAGACTGTATTACCTGTTTCTTTACCACAGGAGAGATAAGTATTTTAAATGCTGCTGGCAATACTGAAAGGCTCTTTCAAAATAATATTAAGTTGCATATTGTATTGGAAAGCAGATCATATCACAGGTTGAAACAAAAATGTTGTTATGCACTGTGCACTATATTGTTAACTCCCTCTTTACCACCACCACGCCACTTGTCTGGCAGCAAAAAAGAGAGGAACTCCTTTATATTTGCCATTGTACAGCAGGAAGCCAAAAAACTCATTAGCTGCTAAAAACAATTACTCGGCACTAAACTCCAATGAAGTTTGTGGAGCTCAACTAACAGATGTCAGGACTTTGCTGAAGATCCCATGCTCACCAGCAGGATTCTCATCAATGCAAAGTTGGCTGGTTCCAATGCCCACTGGTTGTTTGAGTATACTTAATACAGATGATGCAGCAAAGTAAGTCTGTATAGGATCTCCCACCTGAAATGAAAACAGAGGGTGCTATTCAACTAAGTTTCATTCAGAGTAGACCCACTGAAATGAATGAACCTAACTTTATGTTGATTAATGACAGTAGGTCTACTCTGAGTAAAGCTTAGTTGAAGAAGAATTATTTTATTATTTATACCCCATCCATCTGGCTGGGTTGTCCCAGCCACTCTGAGCCGCTTACAACACATATAATAACAAAATGAAACATTAAAAACTACCCGAAATAATACCACCCAGAGCTGAAAAGGAATCACTAAGAGCAAAGCACACACAAGAGAGGCCCATAATCATCATCTATTCTACTGCATGAGGATGAGTATTTAAATACAGTGGTACCTTGGTTACAAACGCTTTGGGTTACAAACTCCACTAACCCGGAAGTAGTTGCTCCAGGTTGCGAACTTTGCCCCAGGATGAGAACAGAAATTGTGCAGCGGCAGTGCAGCAGCAGCGGTGGCCCCATTAGCTAAAGTGGTACCTCAGGTTAAGAACAGTTTCGGGTTAAGAACGGACCTCTGGAACAAATTAAGTTCATAACCCAAGGTACCACTGTAAACCTTAGGAACACAGGAAGCTGCCTTATACTGAATGAAACAACTGGTCCAGCTAGTTCAGTATTGTCTACATAGACAGTTTCAGGAAGAAGCCTCTCCCAGCCCTAACCAGATATGCTGAGAATTGAGCCTGGAACCTTACTGTAAGTTACTAGGAAGGCTTCATCCATAGAGGAAGTATGGAGATTGAAAAGGAAAACTTAACCCTTGATCTCTTCTGTCTAGATATTCTGCCTAGATTTTCTAGAAGCAGCCTTCTCACCACGAAAACCTCAAGAGAAAATCCTTGATAACTAGAGGCTAACTCACCCGGTAAAAGGCAGATGGTGATGACAGAACTTGATCAGGCAAATTGAAAGAAGACCCTCCATATTGCGCTGAAAGTGCTGGAAAGTTGACTTTTGTAACCACCTGTGGCTGCTGTAAATAGTTCAGCTTTGCTATATGTAGAATTGGGGGGGGGGGGATACGTGCAACCGAAACATCACAGTGTTAAAATGAAATCTCATTCCCCTTTGCAAATCTGAACTCCTTCTAGAGGGAAGAATTTTATAAGGTAAGCTATAGGACTTGGTGCTTGTTAAAAGTTTTTTTCTCCACTCCCTGTTAGAGGGCTCAAAAATACTGAATGACTGCAATCTCAACAGATATCAGGATTAGAGGTTTAATTATCCTAGTACAATATTTTCTTGCTCTGCTACTGCAAGATGCTCCCTTTTATGCATTGCACTGGGTGTACAATGCACAAACACTGGGGAGCTCTCCCCAAGAGCCTTTTGAATGATTTTTTTTCATTATTCAGAATAATGAAAAAAAATCATGCAAAAGGCTCTTGGGGAGTAGATAAATGAAGACAGCACCTTGTGTCACACTGTGTGGAACATCAAAGAGTGTACATAATTGCAACTTCAATATTAATAAGGGAATTGTAGACAGTTCAGAAACAAAGTGGGTAGAGTTGGCAACAGGATGTCACCAGCTTTTATGAAGCAAACCTCTTTCCTTGCTCTAAAAGGAAAATATATATATAATATGAACAGTTCATTATCTGCCCTGTATAAATGCAAATTAGTAGGTACAATCTGCACTTCTATTTTTAAAATCAGCTTCAGAGAAGAACCTTGACCAAACAGAATAGCAACCTAGATACTGATCTAAACTTACAATCATTTAGCTCCACACAGAACAGCAATACACATCCACCAGGACCAGGAAGGACATCAGTACGGTAAGGGGTGTTATTTTGGAAAATTGTGGATTTTTCCAAGCACACCTGACTCACAGCCCTAATAAGAAAACAAAAGCACACAAAACCACACCACAGGAGTGTTATTTAAGCAAACACAACTCAATAATATATTTCCTGAAGCACTTGCCTATTCTGTGATTGGGTGACCTAGCAATCTGTCACTCAAAACCACCCGAATATAAGACACTGTGCATATTGATATAGTCCCTGCATTAGTTTGTCATCCATCCTGTAACCAACTTGAGAGGCTATCAACATCAGAAGTCACAATAAGGGTAAATTTTACTATGTTAAGTTTGCCTAGTATAGGATTAGTTAGACCATTATTTTGCTTTAGTATTTTATTTTTGTTGTGATTGCACATACTTGCTCTCTCCCCCCTTTCTTTTTTAAAAACAATTCCTTTAAAATGAATGGCCTAATTAGGTGTTTAAGCAATACTAGTTTCTGGACACACTCACAGTTTGCCCCCACCCCGATCATTTGATCTATGCTACTGGTTTGAAATGCTTGGGAGCACTGGCGGAGGAAGAGGAGTGCAGGGGGAGCGCACCGCCCCTGGCAGAGTGATCCCAGTGGGGTGCCATCATGGCTGCCCCCCCCGCGCTGGGTGTCATGCCCCCAGGACATGCACCACGCCCTACGGGCAGCACACCCCGTCCCTGGGACGCGCGCCAGCTCCGCCCCCTGGTGCCAGAGCATGAAGCTCTGCCACTGCTTGGGAGGTCAAGTAGGGTGACTGGCTGAAGCTGTCAGGCATGAGACTTGGAATTTGGCTGGCAGTATCCCTGCTTATAGGCAACTATAAGCAATCCTGTACTCTGTTGACCAAGTGAGCTGGGACAACTCTGGAGCTGGGTGCTACCATCATTGACAAATAATATCTATCTTAAATGGTGATGGAACTTCAGCACTCATGCAGAAGTCTTTCCTAGCCCAGCTACCTGAGATTTTGTTATCCAGAAATACCATGGCTTCAATTTGAAACATGCAACACATGTGCTTTACTCCTAAACAACTAGCCTGCCCTCAACATTTGTAAAAGAAAAGCTCAGAAAAAGATGCCTTTCCCCTTCCCACATTTTTATAGAACACAAGATAAAGGGGTACTCTCACTTAACCTTTCCCTGTATTATTATTATTATTATTATTAACTCTGCTTGCAAGTTGTCTACAAACAAGTTGGACATACTCAATGCCTTTTTCTTAGATGACACTTCAGGGCAGAACATACTAAAACTTACATTCTTACTCTTTCACTAATGTGTTTATTGCTCCTGTCAGCATTCTCCAGCATAGGTGTGCAAACCTCCTCCTATCCACCAAAACGGTACTCATGGATCTGAGCACTGCCACCACCAAGCACCCTGGCTGAATGAAGCTAGCAGACTCACTCAGATCCCAGCCCACCCCTATGTCTTAACACACTGTGGAGAGAAAATTGTGCCCATGCATTTCACCTGGTGCTGCCTGGAAGACAAAAAGAGAAGGGACATTCAGGGCCCCCCGTGCTACAATCTGAGCCACAGCTTGAATCACAGCAGCAGTTGAGGTCGCAGAAGCCTGGGTGCAGATCACAGGGGCAGATCGACGAAGAAGCGCCTGTGGGGGACAGAGAAAGAGTTAGAACTGAATGCGGTAAGGAGGCTGTGAACTGAGAAACGGTCTCGGTAAAGTGTCGCCTAAACGGGATGGGCGGGGCGGAGGGTTATTCACATATTGCCTTTAGGGCACCCTCAGCCTCTCCCTCCCTCACCAGCTCTGGGTTCGAGTCTCTCTTTCCTCTCGACTTCGGCCGCCTCACTGATGGGCGCCTCACTGGAGCTCGTCTCGTTCGTGGGCGCTTCCTCTGCTTCCAGAGTGCTGTTTGCATCCCGGGGCTTCGCCTTCCCCGACGCCACGACCGACAACAGGAGCAGCAACGAGAGCATCGGCTGTGCGGCGGCCATAGCGGACGCATCGCCCCGTTGCTAAGAAACGGCAGTCGCACGTTCATGACGTATAGGCGCAAAAGAAGTACGTCAGTCTCCGCCGCTTCTGTGTATCCGCAAAACTATAGAAGTAGGAAGTGAGAGGAGTGAAAGCGCAGTCTCCGAAGTTTGTGGATGATTGTTTGCTGAATTTTACTATAGCTGTGATTGGGAAACAGCAAACAAACGAAATTAGCACCAGACAGCAATTAATTCTCTAGCTCAGGGGTAACCTATGAATAGATGTTTTTAAAAAGTTTTTTTGCAAATATTAAAAAATAGCCTATTTGTTTCCCTTATTGGAATATATTAACAGGGAGGGATCCCTCCAGCTTCTCACTCTTTGTTAATGATTAGGATATTTAAATAGCATCTGATATTTAGTGAATCAAGATTGTAATTTGGTATGCTGTTGCTATATTATTCTGAAACTCTTATTACTTTTTATTTGGCCAAAAACAAACCAACAGTAAGCCAACCCCCCCCCCCTTAATAGCACTGACAATATCAACACAGCTTACGTGGCTGGTTTGGGGAGCGGTTGTGGTATTGCTGTCCACTGTTAAGATTGCAGAGGTGGTGCCGATGTTGGTTTGCATTTCCCGCCAAAAATCCCCTGTAAAAAAACACTTCAGCTTGTACGATGTTTGCAGACTTAAAAAAAAAAAGCATTTTCCACACGCAATAAGACCCGAGGTAGAAAAAGCGTGAAGTCTCTGCTACCACCTTAGGCGTACGAGGTGGGGGACACCTGCTGCTACCCCATTACATTTATCGTAAAATTCAGTTCTAAGCGCAGTTGCGCCCCTAGAGTTCCAATTTTGTAGCCGGAGAATACAGTAACTTTCTTTTGTATATGGATAGTTACCATAAGTGCTTTTGCGGAGGCGAAGAAGACCTACTCTTCTCTTCCTTATGTTGGAGCTAGAGGGAATAGGAAGGCATAGCCGAGGGATGCAACTTTGTAGGGGTTAATGCGGGTCAGCAGTTAAATTTGCTAGTCTGGGAAGAATACTGTATTAGCCAGCCGTTTCCCGCTGCAACTCTGAGATGGATCTGGCTGGGGGTTACATTTAAAGCACGATCCACACCCCCCCCACACACACCCCGTCCCGCCGGCGAAGAATCTTGGGAACTGTACTTTGTTGATGGTGGAGTGTATTGTGATGGGTTAACTACTTTGGGGATAAATGTATATTGTGCATAGGAGCCAACTCCTAGGGGCCCGAGGTCCCTTCGGCCCCACAATAAAATATTCGAGGGGCAGCCGCCCCCAAGTTGATGGGCATTGCCATTCAAATAGTGTGCGTGTACTGAGTCAAGTGATTGATTATGCGGGGTGAGACTTACCTGGGCTCCCCCAATATTTCATACAAGTTGGCACCCCGATAGTGTGTATGAGTTTGTATGCTTTTGTAATTCACCAGCAGGGAGCAGCAGAGAAACTGGTTAGAATGGGGAAGGAGGACCTGAGACTATTCTGGTTTGAAAACGGGACCAGGTTCAAAGCGAGGGGTGGAGGGATTAATAGCAAGCGGGGTGATGCTGATCTGGGGCATGATTAGTATGCCTGAGTCAACTTCAGATAGGGAGAATCTCTCTCTCTCCCTATCTGGAAAAGAGGAATCTGGAGTGTTAAGCTTCTGAACGTGCTCAGTTATCCAAAGCTCTCGTTATAAGGCTTGGACATCACCTTGAACGTTCAATTTATAGCCCGTGTGATTTGTTCCACCCCATGCTTTTTGCTACAAATCCTGAACGGATACATTAGAAATTCCTTTTAACTGGGGGAGAGAGACTATAGCATCATGTTGTGCAGCAGCTGTAGCTGACCAGGAACACACAATACAAATCCAGAAAATGGTATGTGTATGACCCCATTCTGAATGCAGGATGCAATCACTAATGTACTAAGTTTTATAATAAGATAGATAGATAGATAGATAGATAGATAGATAGATAGATAGATAGATATCATTCCATTTGACATAGCTTGTATGGCTTTGTCTTCCCGCATGAGCACCACTAGGGGTCACCAAAACCAGACCTATACAAGTGTACAGGCTGTTCTATTCTAACTCTGCGAAATGAGTGGGTGGATTTCAGAAAATGTGCAAACATCATGAACTGAAGAGTAGGGCTACTCTCATTTGTGAAAATGTGTTCTGTATGCAGAGTACAGAGTCTGTATACAGTCTCATTCTGCAGCAGCCAAAGTATAATTTTAAAACTGAATTTGTGCATCTTGAGCTTTCCGTGTTAATGTTTGCCAAGGCAATTATTGCAAAATATACACCCATAATTACAAAAATTCTTAACAGATCTTTCTAGCATCTGATTAGAAAAGCATTGACATGCAGTTAACAAGCAGAAAAGATATCTGACCATATATATACACACAAGTCAGAAATCTTATTCACTGTCCTTCACCACTTTGACTTTCCAAAATAATTGTCTTGGTCAAACTTCAGAATGTCCCTCTGTCGCGTATTCCACGCGGCGTTTTCAGCAAAGCATTAAGAGTTCCAGGTTTTTCAGTGCAGTCCTTTTTAATGTGAGCTATATACAGGTATTTACAAAAGAAACAGTCCATACAGAGTACTTACAAACGAATACTCTCCACCACAGCACCGCCACACTACAGCACAACCACCACACCCCCTGTTAAACAGGCTTTCCTTTTTAAAACAGGTGATAGCCAATTACACTAATCACACTCCTGCTGAGTCACTCTGACCCAGCAGAGTATTGCATCATCCTGTCGAAGCCTGCAGACTTATCCAGTATCCTGCGAATCCCAACACTCCTCCTTAAGTCAAAGGCTTGAGACCCAATAATTCTCTTAAGTCTCGAAATTTAGGAGCATCCAAACATTTTGTATACAAATCTGCCACATTACATTTTGTGTTACAGTGCTGTACCTTTAACACATTTCTTTCCAAAGCATTTTTCACATTTCCGTATCTTATCGCAATATGTTTACTCTTGCTCTTAAAGTTCTGTTGGTTAGCAAGCTGTTGTGCAGCCATGTTGTCACTTAACACAGTGATTGGCATTTCAGAAGGTATTCCAAGCTCTTTTGTTAGGCAAGCAAACCACTCTATTTGTGATACGCATTCGCTTATGGCTGAGTACTCTGCTTCACAAGTACTTGTGGCAACAAATGTTTGTTTCTGGGATTTCCACTGAACCAGGGCATTTCCAATATATATGGCATAGCCAGTGGTAGACTTTCCATTTTCTCTGTCTCCCCAGCTGGCATCAGCGTATGCATACACTTGCTGATCATGTCCTGTATCCAGCACCAGTTTGTAATCTTTTGTGCCTTTCAGATACCTTAGGATTCTTTTAAGTGCTACCCAATCTCTCTGAGCCGGGTCTGCACTTCTTTGGCTTAACATGTGCACTGCCAATGTTATGTCGGGTCTTGTCCAACAACTTAAATATAACAGAGAACCCAACAGAGAATGAAACGCTGTTGCATTCTCACATTTTTGCCCTTCTGGTTCATTTTTGTACTGGGTAGTTATGGGAGTGTCAACCTCATTTGCCCTCTCCACTCCATATGTCTTCAGTAACTTTTCGATTTTTTCCTTCTGACTCAGAGAGTAAACGCCCTCTTCATTTCTCTGAACCTCTACTCCTAAGTAATTCTGAATCTCTCCCAAATACTTCAGTTTGTATTTGTTACCTAGGCTGTTTATAAACCAAGACACTTGCTTTTGTGCAGTGGTTATTAGACAGATATCATCAACATACAAAAGTAAATAACAAACACTTCCTTGCACCATTGCTGAATATAAACAGGAATCAGCCAGGCTTTGTTTGAATCCCATCTTTTTCAAAGTTGTGTCTATGCATTCATGCCATAGACGTGCACTTTGGTGTAAACCGTATAGTGCCCTTTGCAGTTTTAACACCATGCTGTCTTTTTCTAGCTCATAACCTGGTATTTGCTGTAAATACACCTCGGCGTCAATAGGAGCATTTAAATATGCTGAGGCAACATCAAAATGATTAACTTTTAACCCTCTCAGACTTGCCATTGCTAAAACTGATTTTACTGTTTCAGCCTTTGCTGTTGGGGCAAACACTTCATCATAATGTATCATTTTCCTCTGTGTAAAGCCCCGTGCAACCAACCTGGCTTTCCTCTGACAACTACCATCAGCCAGCTTTTTCACTTTAAAAACCCACTTACAGCTTATGGGCTTTTTACCTTCAGGCAATTCTGTAGGTACAAAGACATTGTTGTTTAGCAGAGAGTTATACTCTGCCTGCATTGCCTTTAACCACGCCTCTTTCTCTAGAGTAGGTAACTCTTGCACTTCTTCAAAGTTTTCTGGCTCAGTTACACAAACCTGGTTTATGGTGGCTGGGAACCCATAACGGTCTGGAGGTTGACCTTTATTACTTCTTGCAGACCTCCTTGGTTCATTAATCTCACCCCCTGGGCTACCTTCAGGACTGCTTTTGGGGTGGATTGACTCTGGAGATCTACCTCCTCCTGTCCCTGTTGCACTTTCTTCTCTCCCCTGCTCCATGCTAGCAGCTGGAGAAAAATGCTCAACCTTTACTTCCTCCCTTTCAGTTTCTCTGGGAGAGCTGCCAATTCTTAGCTTTGTTTCAGCTGCCTTATCAGGTATGCTCGGCAGTAAAACTTTTTCTGGCAGCAGGTTTGCATGTATCTTGGGCCAATTTCTTTGCTCATTAAAGCTGGCTGATCGACTATAACTCAAAAGGTTTTTATCATCTTCAAACCTGTAGGCTTTCGTACCACTTTCATACCCAAGAAACAGCAACTGCTGTGCCCTTTTCCCACCTTTTCTTCGGTTTTTCACAGGTATGTCAACCCATGCCTTTGTCCCAAAGATTCTTAAATGTTGCAAACTGGGACTTTTGTTATAGAGAATTTTATAGGGTATGTCATCTAGTACCCTTGACCACAAGCGATTCCCAATATAATTTGCGGTCTTAATACTTTCAGCCCAGTACTTAATCGGAAGATTTGCATCTGCTAAC